TCAAGTCCGGCGAACACGTATATGCACTATGGCGCGTCCGAGTTTACATTGTTGAACAACTCGGCCCGAACATGCTCCTCGGTATGGACACCTTGGTGCCACAAAACGTTGTTTTGAACATCAAGGAACACACCATGATGCAGCCGCTCTGCGAAGACGCAACTGCCAAACTCGTCATTAGAGCTAAGGATAACGACACCAGGAAGAAGCGAAAAGTCACCATCGATGGCGCTGTGAAAATCCCTCCCCACTCGGCCATCAAGGTTAAAGCACACGCTTCACACCCGCTTTCGGATGCGTATGATTACATGTTCGAGCCTCTCGACACGGCTGCACAGCATTTTCGCGCATACAGCACGCTCCTGAAGGGCGCTGATCTCGACGTCGTTCTCCGTAATGACACTGGTAACGTCGTTCGGCTTCCACGCCGAACTCCAGTCGGGTATGCTGAACCACTTAGCGTGGATGCCGTTTACGCAATCGACTCACGCGATCACGCCCTCGCTGCTTTACCGGACTTACGGTCCACCCTGCCTAGCGAGTCCAAGACTGATCTCGGCATCACCATCTATGGGACTCCGGCGACCAAGGAAGTTCTCTATCGAGCGGCCATGGTGCACCCTGAGGTATGGACCGATCGCGGATCGATTGCGAACATACCACCGGAGTTCGCAATGCCTATCGACCTTCGAGACGGGTGGCAGAACGTGAAGATCTCCTCCAAGGTGTACAACAGTGGACCGCGGGACCGGGAAGTCATCAACAAGGTTTTTGACAAGCTTACGCATGACCAGAAGATGGAGCTAGCTCGCCTTCCCGCTCCCTTTCCCGTGCCAGTTTTCGTCGTTTGGAAGAAGGTGCACACACAGAACGCCGACGGCACGGTAGCCACTGTGGATTGGAAGGGCCGGCCAGTTCTCGACATGAGGGAAATTAACTTCTGGTCAATCAAAGACGCCTACCCCCTGACCACACAGGCGGACATTCTCGCACGTCTCCAAGGAGCTAACTACATCACTGTCGTGGACGGGCTCTCATACTTCTATCAGTTTGCCGTCCGGCCTGAAGACCGTGGTAAGTTTACCATCAACACTCATCGCGGAGCGGAAGTGCTCAATGTTTGTGCAATGGGGTTTAAGAACAGCGTATCCCACGTACAGCGCTGTGGGGACCTATTCCTGCGTGACATGGTCGACTTTGCGAAGGCGTACATCGACGATTTCGTCATCTTTTCGAAGACGCTCGATGAACACGTCCACCACCTTGATCGTTTCTTTCGCCGGATTCATGAAATGAACATTTCGCTTGCTCCCGACAAGGCCTTCATTGGGTATCCTACAGTCAAGCTCCTGGGCCACCGAGTGGACGCTTTTGGCGTCGCCTCCACCGATGAGCGAATTCGAGCACTCCGTGACGTTGAGTTTCCCCGGCATGCGAGGGATATGGAGGTCTACTGCGGTGCCATCAACTTCCTCAACAAACAGACACCGTACCTCGCACAAATTTCCGAGCCACTTACGTCGCTCAAGACTGAGCTTCTGCGGTTCGCGCCAAAAAAGAAGGGTAGAGCAAGGACTGCAGTGACGACGAAGGCACTGATCCCGGCAACTGGACCAATTCGCGAGGCGTTCAACAACATTCAGTCTCTGTGGAGCGACACAATTCGACTATCACACCAGGACTACGGCCGCAAGCTATACATTGATGTTGACTCTTCCAAACAGTACGGCATGGCAGCCATGGCGTATCACGTGAAGGACAACCCCGATCCGAACATGGTCAACTCTGACGTACCTGCCGGCTATGAGGATGATAATTCCTCTCCAACAGCCTGGCTGAAACGCTCGACCGACTTTGAGACGGCCAGCATCGAGCCTCTTCTGTTCCTGTCAAAGTGCTTGTCCGGCGCTGAGCGTCGTTACTTTCCAACCGAGCTAGAGATGGCGGGATTGTGTTGGACGGTGAAGAAGCTACGCCACATGATCGAAGCCGCTCCCAAGGTGTTTATCTTCACAGATCATGCGGCCGTTACCGCCATCGCCCGTCAGAGAAGGTTGACCACGACGGAGTCGCTTGAGAGTCTTAATCTTCGTTTAGCCAAGGCCTCTGTGTACTTGCAACAGTTCGACCTCGATGTGCGCTACCGCCCCGGCAGGCTACACATCGTACCAGATGCGTTGTCAAGGCTACACCCCATAGCCGTGCCGGAGTCCGACCTTGAGACCGACATGCTCAATGACGTCGCACATGTGTTTCACGCACTCATCGTCGAGATGGAAGATGGCTTCAAGACACGACTCAAACAGGCTTACAAGGATGATGCTTTGTGGGCACGCGTCCTCGCAGTTATCTCCGGTGAACGCCACGATGACGAAGACCCTGAACGCCCGATGCGCGGCCTTCGTTTTCTGCTCAAGGGCGACCTAGTTTATTACTGGGATACGAAAGACGGCTCCGAGCGGCTTTGCATCCCAAAGAGCCTCATGAATGAGATCTTCGAGCACGCCCACGACGGTTTCCATCATCAAGGTTTCAACCGCACTTACGACCGCATCAAGTCTTCTTTCTTCATCCGGAAATTGACAAAATACCTCAAGATCTACGTCAAGTACTGTCCGCAGTGTAAAGTTAACCAGACGCTGCGACACAAGGGATACGGATCATTGGAGCCCATCGATCGACGAGCCCGGCCCTTCGAGGCTGTCTGCATTGACATCGTAACCCACCTGCCGGAGACGACCGATGGTTTCAACGCCATCTTGACCGAGACCTGCCAAGTGTCTAAGGCTGTCAACATCGTCCCCGGTAAGGACCATTGGTCCGGGGAAGAATGGTCTATCGCACTCACTAGAATGAACTACCTCTCCAGTTGGGGAAACCAGAGAGTGATTATCAGCGACCGAGCCCCGACGTTCATTAAGGGCATGTTCAGTAAGCAACACCGCGCTTTCGGCACCAAGTTTCATACTACCGCTGCATGGCATCCTCAGGCGGACGGCCAATCCGAGCGTACGAACCAAACCGTCGGCATCGCTCTCAGGTTTTTCATTACCGCAAATCAAGACTCCGACTGGACGGAGGCACTGCCGCACATTCAGTTCACACTAAACACGAGTCGAAACCACTCCCTTGGCTGTTCGCCCTGCGAATACATTATGGGTTTTAACCCCTACCAGGGCTTTGACCTCGTGCACGCCGAACGCACGCTCTCTCGGGAAGACTACCTCAGCCTACGTCTTAACTACCGGGAAGAGGCCGAGGAGGCCCTCGCTTTCGCTAAGGTCGCCCAGAAGGACTATTACGACTCGCGCCATCAGTCTTTGGAGCTCCAACCCGGCGACCACGTCGCGCTCGTCTTGGGTAAGGGCTACAAGCTTCAAGAAAATCTCCCCAGGAAGATTGGTTGGCAGCGCTACGGCCCGCTAAAGGTACTCGGAAAAGTGGGCAAGAACGCCTACCGCATCGAGCGACCGCCGGGCCTCCGCATCCACGACGTCGTGAACGCTGCCCAGCTTGAACCGTGTCATACCACAGAACAAGATCCTTTCCATCGCCCTTTTCCAGCGCTTCCCCTCGCGGTGACCAATGAGCCCGGCGAGCGGGAGCTGAAGCCAATCGAACACATACTCAAGCGTCGAGTGAATAACGCTACTGCCAAGCTCGAGTACTTTGTCAAATGGGAGAATAGGAGCGCCGCTCACAACCAATGGCTGTCTGCTGCACAGCTTGGCACCGCCCGTGAGATGCGAGACGATTTTGATCTCCAATTTCCCCTCACTGAGCAGGACCAGCGCAAGCTTCGTCGCATACGGAACCGCAAGTCCCGACAGACCGCACGAGATCGTAAGCTCGCGGAACGACTACCGGATTTGGAGCCTCAGGCGCAAGATAACTCACCGCCAGCGGAACCGGAATCCCAGCTCCAAGGAACCATGACACCAGTCCCACCGGGAAACATCGCGGCTGTTGACAAGGACGCCCCGCCAGTGGAGCCAGCACCCCAGCTCCAAGGAACGACAACACCAGTTCCACCGGGAAGCACCGCGGCTGCCGACGAGGGCGTTGACGACAATCATTCGGTTCACACACCGTCTCCTCCGCGGCGAGCGAAGAACCCGCGACTCCGTGACAGGCTCAATCTCCGAGGCATTGACGCCGCCTACAACTCCGGCAGTCACAACCCTTCATCTCCTCACGAGCCCCTCCATGAGTCCGTTCAGCCCGGCGACTGCCATGAGGAAGTCATCGCCACGCGCGTTGACGACGAGGTGCTTTTTGAGACCAACCCGGCGGCTCCCCCTGTCAGCGGACGGCGGGCCACACTCAGGCCACGCCCCTCGTGATGCTACTGCAGCATCACACTCATTACTACGGATGGCAGGTTTTCGTCTTTTTTGACTTTGGCGTTTTTGCTCCTTTTTACCTATAGGCGTTTTTCCACTTTTCGGCGTTTCTCACGGCATTTGCTTTTCTACAGCTCGCCTTTCAAAGGGCCCTTCTGGCTCCTCTATTTACAGGCCCGATGACCATCGTCCGCTCACATGGGCTTGGTCTGACGGGGTGGCAGCCACCCTTCGTTTTGATCAATCATACTCCACCGGGACTTTAAGCCACCACAGCTTTCCCACGACATCGTCCACCATCACCGTTACCCGGCGATCCACATACACCATAGCCTCACATACACTATTTCCAGTAGTAAACAACACCCTCGTCTCCACTTACCCCGCATCTTAGCGACACTATGCATCGTGATGTTCCTCCCTGCGAGGGTTCAACTCCAGTACGCAAGGTGAGAGAAGCCTGCTTTTCTCTCACCCACAACGTCGAGCCCACACTACATCCACATATAAGGCAAGCTTCCTACTCGCAACTTTCGTCTCTCCTACACCAACTACCGCCTCTCGAACCCGTCCCCGCTACTACGTTTCCAGACTACGCCGCTCTTCCAGAAGCCGCCCTTTCGCGTACACCCTTTACACCACTACAAGCAGACTACTATGCGCTACTCACCTGATCAGTCATGGCCGGAGGCCTCTGCCGGAGAAGAGCGCCCCGATACTCAGCTTGAGAATGGACCGCCTTCACCCACGCCCTCCGCAAAGGCACTCAGCCGCAGCCTGCTTGCAGGTTGGGCATCACCCCCCCACGCTCACAGCCATCACGCAGTTCCTTCAGCTGCTCCAGCCGAAGCCTCACCACAGCTCTTGGTGACCCTGGACAGTCCTCCCGACGTTGGTTCACATTCCAAGAGCCCGGCGACCGTCACCCTTTCCATGCAAGATATCATGCGAGTTCACAGCTTGACAAGTGCTGCAACTGCTTTTGCTCAACGCGCCTTGCTGACGAACCGCCTGCCCGCCGACGATGACGTGAGCGGCTATGTCCGAGATTCCGGTGGAGCGATCGTATACTACCTCAACAAAGTACAGCAAGTGCTCTCTGACTTCACCAACGGGGAGAGCGCCACCACCGGGATACCTGTCTGGGACCCCAAGCACATCAAGGGGTGGTCGTTCAACACGAGAGTTCCTTTCCCCGCCGACGCCATGCTTCGTCACCTTGAGAAAGCGGAACCTCAACGCGGTGTACTCGACTTTGACGTTTTCGCCAACTCCAGTGAGCATCTCCAGCGCATGAACGACAACTTTGAGACGTACTCGGAGCAGCCCTTCAAGTTCAGGAAGAATACCGACCACACATGGGACCAACAGGTCGCCGAGCGCATGGCTGACGGCCTCATCTCGCGCGGTTACCGGGTTGTCCGGCCTGGCGAGTCCATGGAAGCCGCCATGGCACATATGTCAGACGAGGACCGCCAGTATGCCCGGGATGTCGACAAGCTCGCCGTCTATGTGCCAACCCCAGCCCACTTGAACTGGGCAAACCCACCGGAGATCAAAGCCAGCACAAACAAGCACCTCGCCGTATACAAGACCTACGGCATCCTCGAAGACAAGACGAAGACTAGACCCTCCAACGCCAACAAGGCCTACTTCTGCTTGAAGAAGGACCCTGAAGCCTCCAAGCCGCGCCGAAAATCTCAAGATCTTGTCGACAAGGTCAACCACCAGACTCCGCCGATGGCTATCTTCTTCACCGATGAACAGAAGAAGACCATGTCTGACATCAATTTCGCTTGGGCTTGTTCTTCCTGCCATACTGAAGGGATTGCAGCCGGCGGCCGATGCTACAACCCCGCCTCGGTGAACTCCTGCTGGGCCTGCCAGACCATCCGATTCAAGTTCAAGAACAAGAAGATTGACAAGGGCAAACCCGTTCGAGAGCTCGATGAGGAGGGCAAATACATCATCCTTGAGCAGAGCGGGGTCACGATGGACTTTGATCTGCCGGACAACGTGCGCATTTGGCAAATTGACAGCAGATTCTTCGTTGATGAATATGGAACCATACGGCTCGGCATCGAGTACCTCAAGGTCCGTGGCACAAATCGAGGGATGCTTCGACGCTTCGATCCCGTCCGCACCGGCATGCACCTCATACCAAAAGATCAATTCTTTGGCATCACCTACTACACTCCCAGCGAAATCCAAGACGCCTTTCCCCAGCTCAAGGCCGCACACCAAAAGAAGGAGGCCAGGAGAGAAGCCAAAGAACAGGCAAAGACTCCAGGTGCAACCCGGCAGCGCAAGAGGAAGGTTTCTGAGGTGGACGAGGACGACGGGTATGACCTCGATGGCATTGACACTTTCGGTGCTCTTTCCAAAGAGGAAGACGAGGACAACTTCTTCGATGTCCTCGCAGAGGATGAACAGCGCTACAAGGACGCTCAGGATACATCGACTGCTCAGGCCCGCAACACTCCTATGGCTCTCAAGGAAGAGAACATCGACTTTCTCAAGGAGGAGAACGGCGATGGAGATTATAAGCCACAGTACAACACCGTCACTCCCGCTCAAGGCACCAAGCCCAAGCCTAAGACCATGAGCCTCTACGTCGCCAACACCACCAAGTACTTCCAGTCTAGGCCGACCGCCAAGCCGAAGGCCACCAAGCCTAGCAGTGAAACAAGGAGGAAGCCCAAGAAGCAAAAGACCGTGGACTCGACTCCATCACCTGACGCCAACGCTACGGATCCTGCCACCGCTACCGCTGCGACCCCGGTGCGCGACAATCCTTTGGAGACTGCAACTGGCGACCACGCCGGGGACGACGCCCTCGCGAAGGAAGATCTCGATCATCAAGAGATCCAGGATGTCGCCATGGCCACCGCAGCCGAATTCACCAGGAACATGAACGCACCTTACAGCCCGGTGGATGACCGCGCCGAAGGTTCTTCCTAAGTCTTCTCCGCTTCATAGCTCAACGACTGTCAACCTCGACCGTCTACATTACCCCGGCAGATCTATCGCTATATCTACACTTTACCAAAAGTCTTAACGTCAGCCCCTCTTTTCGGCTTGCACAGTCCACAGCTGGGATGCTATCTATCTTTCTTACTGCGTCTTTTCGCTCTCAGCCTCTGGCCTCGTTTCCCCGCCTGGCATGAAAAGTTTTCCCTTTTCGTGCATCAGCAACAGTTTTGCCTTTTACTTCACACATTGCTTCACGACAGAACAACACGTCCCTTACTCCTCCCGCCTGTGTTACCCGGCGATGGTTCACAAGGGGCCTTTTCCTTTTCAGGCATTTATCAACAACCACAAAACGCTCGTCAGCGCCACCAGGTTTCACGGTGGCCGCAACGACAAATCCCGAGTCCATTCACTACTCCCACCGGGAAACAGCGGCTTCACATGGGGGTATAGAGGACATCTCACAAGCACAACTTTTGCCTTGCAAAAGTTTTTACAACCTCTTACATTATTCATTTTCTCTTTTTTGAAGCAAGCATTGCTCTCTTTTCTTCGCGAGCATACGGAAGGGACTTTGGGCTCGCAATGCCTCGCACCGGGCTTCTGGGGAATGCACAACCGCGCTGGGGTCCCCTTCACAGTCTCTGGTTTGGGCGGTTTCTCTCTTTTTGTCTTGTGCCGGGGATGGAACCTGTCACATGACTGCCAAGGATGGCATGTGCCGGGTATATAGTGGGCCCATCCCATCTTAGTTAGCTCGTTAGACTTATACATTGATTCACACTCCACACATACTACAACGAGCATCGACACGACGTTTTCCGTCGCGCGACCGTCCGCCCTGGGTCGCGCTTGGGGAGAGATAAGGCCTGAGATGACCCTCTCGAATTACGACAGACAAGTCGTGGGCTGCCGAGGCGAGGCCGCCGGGCCAATGGCAGCGGCCGCTTTTCAGATGATGCGGCGTGGGCTGCAGCGGCAATCTAGCCGGTGGAGCAGAGGCAGAGCGGAAACACATGCAAGTCCTGGTCATCAGATGTCAAACCGACCTTCGGAGCCCAGGATGCGGCGCACGGCCAAACTGCTGCAGGGCGGTCGCGCCTGTCTGGCCACTCACATCCTGCCCTTTGGTCATGGAGTGGCAGAAAAACCGTGGGGTAGGCCAATTTTCCAGGCGCAATACGCCGCGAGGCAGTGATGGTAGACGGACGTTGGACAGTGTAGTAATGTTCAGAGAGACTCTATAGATCGACTCCATAGAGCATGTAGCGATTTCACGTTGAAATATCTTGTATGTAGTGGTATACCGTCTAAAGTGATACGCGACACAGTCCGAGGTCGGGTCCGCTCCAACTTTCCATGCGATATTCACTCGTAAAGTACCAAGACCACCTCCAAGACCAGGCAGTTCCCAGTTCGCATCGGCACACACGCGGAGATGGCCTAAGTGACAGCACGAACGCCTCCCTCGACACGCTTCCAGCCCGGTAATTGGACAACGTTGAAGTCAAGCTGTTAGCGCATTGGGAAAATATCCACCCCACCAGGAGCCCTCCGCTCTCTTATTCATAAGCACGCCCGCCCAATCTCCCGCGACCCTCTGTCTCTTCACGTACCTGCTCGACACACAATCGCTACACTTTGCTTGCCGGAACACCGCGAGCCCATCACCAGGCCTGTTCCACCAGCCCTGCTAGCAAGTAAGTCGCCCGCCTCCCACATGTACACCCGCTGCACCCATCCACCACCCGCGCCCAAACATTGTGCTTTTCCACCACCCGTCCTGCGTGAACAACACAGACACTCGTTTTACTGGTCTACGCGTGCCACCCCGCGTTAGCCCATTCGCTATTCCCTTATCAGCGCACTCGTGCTTCCAACAGCTATCAGTCGCCGCTGGGTACGGGGGAACGTCATAGCCCTCAGTCGCTATATCCGGCGGGTGAAGCTGGTGACGAATCCAGCCCATCTTTCTGCTGCCTTTGGGGGTGATAGACACCAGCGACCCCGTCCTTGCAGCGACTGATCCCCACCCACATTCGTTGCTTTTGAGCTAGAGCCCTAGGCGCATCTGTACCAAATATCTTCGATCCTCGGCTCGCACTCACCGACAAACTCTTCTCCGAATTGACAACTAATATCCGTCTCAGACTTCACCTAGACACTATTACCAGAGCAGCAGCTCCAACTTGACGCGTCGAGCGACCCCGCCACACTCCCATATCGATACCGCAGCCCCGCTACCCACACCAACGAACCCAGAACTTCGGCCTTTCGCCGATATAATGGGTCGGGTCTCGTTCGCCGAAGATACAAAATTGCCCCAGGAACCCCAGATTGAAGAGTATCAGAGCTCCGTGTTTGAGTATCAAGATGGCCCCGAGAACAAGTCGTGGGCAGGTGCGCTGCCCTTGAAGCAGGGTCTCTATGACCCGGAGCTCGAGAAGGATGCTTGCGGTGTCGGTTTCGCTGCGTGAGTGACGGAATTGCACTTTCTGTGGAGTGTGAGGGCTGACATTTGCGTAGCCACATCAAGGGCAAGGCCAGCCACAAGATTGTTTCCGATGGTAAGAGCGAACAACGCGAGAGTAGTGCAGGATAGGGTGCTAACAAATCCTCAGCACGATCGTTGCTATGCAACATGACACATCGAGGAGCCGTGGGCTCAGACGCACGCGACGGTGACGGTGCAGGTGTAATGACCTCCATTCCCCACCGCTTCTTCCTCAAGGAGTTCGAGCGCGAGCAAGGCTACAAGCTACCAAGCCTTGGCCAGTACGCCACTGGTAACCTGTTCTTCAAGCCCGACGCGACCATCTTGGAGGAGACCAAGGCCATGTTCGAGGACGTTGCAGACCAACTCGACTTGAGGGTGCTCGGATGGCGGACGGTGCCCCGCGATTCCACACTTCTTGGACCCGCAGCGCTGTCACGAGAGCCCATCATTCTCCAGCCATTCGTGGTACTGAAGACTGCCTACGGCGACGCCCGCGAGCCCAAGGCGGACTTCCAGGAGAAGTACGATAACGCGTACTTTGAGCGACAACTGTATGTCATGCGAAAGAGGGCTACACACGTCATTGGCCTGCACAATTGGTTCTACGTTTGCTCTCTGAGCAACAAGAACATTGTTTATAAGGGTCAACTATCTCCCGTCCAGGTCTACGAGTACTACCATGATCTGCTGAACGTCGACTACGAGGGTCACTTTGCGCTAGTGCACTCACGTTTCTCTACCAACACATTCCCCAGTTGGGACCGTGCTCAGCCTCTACGATGGGCGGCTCACAACGGCGAAATCAACACCCTGCGAGGAAACAAGAACTGGATGCGCGCCCGCGAGGGTGTCATGAAGTCCAGCCTTTTCGGCGAGGAGCTCGACCTCCTCTACCCCATTGTCGAGGATGGTGGTTCTGACTCTGCAGCTTTCGACAACGTTCTTGAGCTGCTCACCATCAACGGTGTTCTCTCACTCCCAGAAGCAGTCATGCTCATGGTTCCAGAGGCATGGCAGGGCAACAACACGATGGACCCCGCCAAGCAGGCTTTCTACGAGTGGGCTGCCTGCATGATGGAACCTTGGGATGGTCCCGCTCTCTTCACATTCTCGGACGGACGCTACTGTGGTGCCAACCTCGACCGTAACGGTCTTCGTCCTTGCCGTTACTACGTCACCGACGACGACCGCATCATCTGCGCGTCTGAAGTCGGTACAATCTCCATCGAGCCTGAGCGAGTCGTACAGAAGGGTCGTCTGCAGCCCGGTAGGATGTTGCTCGTCGACACTGTCGCTGGCCGAATTGTCGATGACGCCGAGCTGAAGAAGAGCGTCTCAGAGCGTGTCGACTTCCGTTCTTGGATCCAGAAGAACCTTCTTACTCTTCCCAAGATCTTGGAGGCAGTCCCTGCAAAGGGTGTTGACCTATCATACCAGCTCACCGAGACTAAGCTACACGAGGATCCTCGTCTAAGGGCATTTGGTTACTCGCTTGAGCAAGTCAGCTTGCTTCTTGGCCCCATGGCCGCTGACTCAAAGGAGGCTCTTGGATCTATGGGTAACGATGCTCCTCTGGCTTGCTTGGCTACTCAGCCTCGCCTGCTGTACGAGTACTTCCGTCAGCTCTTCGCCCAAGTCACCAACCCTCCTATCGACCCTATCCGTGAGGCGATTGTCATGTCGTTGGAGACCTACGTCGGTCCCCAGGGTAACCTTCTAGAGATGGACGAGTCACAGTGTGGCCGTCTTCTCCTTCCATCGCCCATCCTGACTCTTGAGGAGTTCACAGCGTTGACCAACACTCACAAGCTGTACTCTGACTGGACCGTCAAGAACATTGACATTACTTTCCCCAAGAGCGATGGTATTGAGGGCTACATGGCTGCTCTCGACCGCATCTGCGAGGCTGCCACGGAGGGTATCCAGGCTGGCGACAACATCCTCGTCCTGACCGACCGCGCTGCATCCGCTGACCGGGTTGCCGTGTCCGCTTGCTTGGCTACTGGTATGGTCCACCACCATCTCGTCCGCAACAAGTGGCGGTCCAACGCTGCTCTCGTTGTCGAGACTGGTGAGGCCCGTGAGGTCCACCACATGTGTGTGCTCGTTGGATATGGTGCTGACGCCATCTGCCCATACCTCGCCATTGAGTGTATCCTGAAGATGCACCGCGAGGGTGTCATCCGGAAGAAGCTTAGCCCCGAGCAGCTCATTGACAACTACAAGCACTCTTGCGATGGTGGTATCTTGAAGGTCATGAGTAAGATGGGTATCTCTACCCTCTCATCCTACAAGGGTGCTCAGATCTTCGAGGCTCTTGGTCTTGACGACTCTGTTGTCGACCGATGCTTCACTGGAACTGCCTCTCGTATTAAGGGTATGACCTTTGAGCTGATCGCTTCCGACGCTTTTGCTCTCCACGAGAAGGGTTACCCATCGCGCGCTATCGTCGAGGTACCCGGTCTTGCCGAGACTGGTGAGTACCATTGGC